TTTTTTTTTTTTTTGGCAGAATCTCACTCTGTTGCCCAGGCTAGAGTGCAGTAGTATGACCACATCTCACTGCAGCCTCAGCCTTTCACGCTCAAGTGATCCTCCTATCACATCTTCCCAAGTAGCTAGGACCACAGATGTGCACCACCATACCCAGCTAATTTTTTAAAATTTTTTAGAGAGACAGGGTCTCACTATGTTGCCCAGGCTGGTCTCAAACTTCTGGGCTCAAGCAATCCTCTCACCTAAGCATCCCAAAATGCTGGGATTACAGGCATGAACCACCATACCCGGCCAGTCTTAATTCTTTATCATGCACATACATCATTTACTGGGAGCTCAAAAATGTCATGTGAATTAAACTAGACATCTCATTCAGTCCTGGACTTTTTCTGCTATATTTGTCTTATTTCTATACTAGCAGAATGTTTAAAAAATCAGAACAGTTCAGTAGACAAGAATCCATTAAATATTTAGAATTATTTTATGTGTACAGTATGCTTTATGAACAGAATAGTATTTATGAAAATCTTCATCTTCCTTCTTAGATTTGTAAAAACCAGCATCAGTAGGCTTGGTAGCTTATTTCAGCTAAAATTCCTAATTAAAGGGAAGCCTCAGATTTGTTGTACTATATTGTGGACATCATATATGACAAATTTTACATTCCTATCTACTAAATGATGTTTCTCTCTTTTTAGGGTTTGTGGATATAGAAACTCCAACATTGTTTAAGAGGACCCCAGGGGTATGTGTATTCCTTCAATCAGTCTGTTAATAATGTCCTGTTAGTTATAAAGCTAGACCACGTTGCTTTTATATTCACTGGATCCACTTTTATTTTATTCACTGCCTCAGGATGGTCATATTAACTAGGTTTTTCTGAAGAATTGAGAAAAGTATTTGGGTACTTTGAGTCAGAATTGTTCTATTCCACATAAGTTTTCTTTCTTTTGAGTTTTTTTTGTTTGTTTGTTTTTTGTTTTGTTTTTGGGGTTTTTTTTTGTTTGTTTTTTTTGTTTTGAGACAAGAGTCTCACTCTGTCACCCAGGCTGGAGTGCAGTGGCACGATCTCAGCTCACTGCAACCTCTGCCTCCTGGATTCAAGCGATTCTCATGTCTCAGCCTCCTGAGTAGCTAGGATTACAGGCATGCACCACCATGCTGGGCTAACTTTTGTATTTTTAGTAGACATGGAGTTTCACCATGTTGGCCAGGCTGGTCTCGAACTCCTGACCTCAAATGATCTGTCCACCTCGGCCTCCCAAAGTGCTGGGATTACACGTGTGAGACACCTCACCCTGCCTCCCTTGAGGTTTACAGATGTAAATCATGAATAAGTTGGTTCTTTGTTTTTTGTGTGGTTTTTTTTTTTTTTTTCCGAGATGGAGTTTCGCTTTGTCACCCAGGCTGGAGTGCAGTGGGGTGATAGGCTCACTGCAACCTCCACCTCCCATGTTCCAGCAATTCTCCCACCTCAGCCTCCCAAGTAGCTGGGACTACAGGTGCGTACCACCGTGACCAGCTAATTTTTGTATTTTTTTAGGAGAGATGGAGTTTTGCTGTGTTGGCCAGGCTGGTCTCGAAATCCTGACCTCAGGTAATTCACCCGCCTCAGCCTTTCAAAGTGCTGGCATTACAGGTGTGAGCCAGTGCACCTGGCCAATGAATTGATTCTTTAAGAACAAATCTCCTGGCCAGGCTCAGTGGCTCACACATGTAGTCTCAGTACTGGGAGGCTGAAGCAAGGAGGATCACTTGAGCCCAGGAGTTCAAGACCAGCTTGAGCAACATAGTGACACCCTCTTGAAATAAAAAAAAAAAATGGAAAAGAAAAAAAAAATTTTTTAAGAACAAATCTCTTGCATATTAAAAATTGACATTTCTTGGCCAGGCACTGTGGCTCATGCCTATCATCTCAGCACTTTGGGAGGCCGAGGTGGGCAGATACCCGAGGTCAGGAGTTCGAGACCAGCCTAGCCAACCATGGCCAACATGATGAAACCTTGTCTACTAAAAATATGAAAATTAGCCAGGTGCAGTGGTGGGCACCTATAACCTCACCTACTCAAGAGGCTGAGGCAGGAGAATCACTTGAATCCAGGAGGCAGAGTTTGTAGTGAACCGAGATTGTACCACTGCACTCCAGCCTAGGCAACAGAGCAAGACTGTCTCAAAAAAGAATTTTTTAAAAATAAATAAAAATGGACATTTCTGGCTGGGCACAGTGGCTTACACCTATAATCTCAGCACTTTGGGAGGCCGAGGTAGGTGGATCACAAAGTCGGGAGTTTGAGACCAGCCTGGACAACATGGTGAAACCCTGTTTCTACTAAAAATAGAAAAATTAGCCAGGCATGGTGGCAGGTGCCTGTAATCCCAGCTACTTGGGAGGCTGATGCAAGAGAAGCACTTGAACCTGGGAGGCGGAGGTTGCAGTGAACGGCGATTGTGCCACTGTACTCCAGTCTGGGCAACAAGAGCAAGACTCCATCTCAAAAAAAAAAAAAAAAATTGACATTTCTAAACATTGATATTTACTCGATTCATCCAGTCTGTGAAATTATAAAACTACAGTTTCATTTGGAAATGCAATTAGGAACTACTTGGATAAGAAATGAGACAGAAAATTCATTCAGCTTGTAATAGAATTGGAAATTCATTTCAACAAGCATAAACTCAACACCTGCCCGTGCAATGGTGTTTAAAGCCTAGTATGCGCAAGCCTTTTTAGAGACTCAAAGATAAGCGAGAAATTATCTCTGTCTTTGTAGAAACTTTGTTCTTTAGTCATTCATTGATAAACTGAAGTAACAACTTCTACTAGTCAATTATACCTTGGGTTTTTGTTTTTTTTTTCTTTTAATAAACTGTCTCCTCTCTCTCTCTCTTTGAAAGGGTGCCAAAGAGTTTTTAGTACCATCCAGGGAACCTGGAAAGTTTTACTCTCTCCCTCAGAGTCCTCAACAGTTCAAGCAACTTCTGATGGTTGGCGGTTTAGACAGGTGGGCTTTTTTTTAATGCTAGCAGTTGTCAGAAAAGGAAAAGAGAAAAACAAAGGGAAAAAAGGAAACACAAAATCCTCTCTGTTCTCAAGAGAAGGATGAGAGTTTGGAGAATACTTATAAAATACCCTCATAATTTTTAGTCATTATTTATTAAAGATTTATTGGGTAGCCAGCATGTACAAAGCTCTATGCTAGTAGATGTAAGAGGGGATTTTTTAAAAATCCCCTTTTTGCTCTCAAGGTGTTAAGGCTGGTAAGCCAGACTAGGATAATGAATAAAACCATCTGTGACATAAACCAAAATGTAAATGTATTGAGATTTGCAAATGAGGTGTTAAGAGCTTTAAAATTATATTGTTTGAGGAAATATAGAAAACTTTGTGAGTTAGGCCTTTGAGGTTAGAGCTACGCTTCAGCAGGTGAAGATAAGAGTTGGAATGACATAGCACAGAAAGTCTCAAGTGTATCCATGGCACAGTAAGTATTTCACTTTGGCCAAAGCAAAAGAGTATATGTGAAGAAGCATGGACTAAAAAAAATGTTTTCATAAAAAGAATTGGCATGGACTGATTTGCATGCCAGTCTAATATATGAATATCCAGAGGTGCCAGTGTTTATTTTGAAAACAATATATAAAATAGTTAACTTCTCATAGGTCAGCTATATATCTAATTCAATTAAATCGTCATGAAAAATAAAAGTATTTCTTATGTTTTTTAGGTATCATTATTTTATAGCCTGCATTTCCTTAAACTTTTGGGAAAAAGTGTGCATTAGTGTAAAATTAACTCAGTTAATGCTATTTCTCAATTGTAGATATTTTCAGGTTGCCCGATGTTATCGAGATGAAGGTTCAAGACCAGACAGACAGCCTGAGTTTACTCAGGTACAAAGTTATATTCACTTATTTCTTAAAATTCAGGCTATTTTGAAAATAGTATTTTCAAGACTAATGCAGTAATTTTATATATTAATGCTTTACTTCTCATTACATTTTATCCATTAGCTATTTAATTAAACTCACCTGCAGTCGAGAAACTCTTCAGTTTTTTTATCCATTTCATGTGTCCTTTTTAAAATTTTTATCTTTCCTTGGATAGCACAGGGGCCACACTGTCATTCAGATTTTAGTATATGTGCTGCCAAAGTGAGCATGTGTCCTTTCCGTAAAGAGTATAGTCAGCAACTAAGGAATGCCAGAAATTCCTAAAGCATTCTAATGTTCATGATAAGGTCCTTAAAACAAATCTCTTATATATTAAGAATGAATAGTTCTATATATTGATATTTTAATCTTTCTAATATGTGTACTTACCAAAGCTATTATGATTTGCTTTCTGTATGATAGCATTTTATTTTATTTTATGATTTTTTTTTTTTTTTTGAGAGGGAATCTCACTCTGTCGCCCAGGCTGGAGTGCAGTAGCGTGATCTCAGTTCACTGCAGCCTCTGCCTCCCAGGTTCAAGAGATTCTTCTGCCTCAGCCTCCCAAGTAGCTGGGACTACAGGCGCACACCACCATACCCGGCTAATTTTTGTATTTTTAGTAAAGGCAGTGTCATAAATAAAGCTCAGAGTTGTAAGGAAAACCAGCACTCAGAGAAAGGATTTCTCAGCAAAGCAAATTTACTTCTGCGCAGAGGTGTGCCCCTCATATTGCCACAAGAGAGCAGCACATAGAACAAAGGAGAGAGAAAGTTTTGACTCCTGACGCAAATCCTGCCCCATGCCCTTTCCCCATTGGCTGGGGTTGGACGACACAATCTGAACGAGACCTGATAGGCTAAACATTTAAACTTTTTCTCAGATAAGGTGGGCACGTAAGGGAGAGGGGAGAGGGGAAAGGGGTGGTCTGTGGCGAGCTAGAGGGCCAATCTTTTCCCAAATAAGGAATGGAATGTGAGCTGATGCTGATGGCACCATTGGTGCTGTGGTATACCTGGGCATGTAGTAAAAGCAGAAAAAAGGAAAGAAGAAGAAAGAGAGGAGTTGGGGGTACTGGGAATTAAAGGATCAGCCTGTTTGAAGAGAAACCTTGCCATGTTTTACAGACAGGGTTTCAGCATGTTGGCCAGGATGGTCTCCATCTCCTGACCTCGTGATCCACCCGCCTGGGTCTCCCCCAGTGCTGGGATTATAGGCTTGAGCTACCACCCGCCAGCTGACAGCATTTTAATCAATGTGGTAAAGTGAAAAAATTACGAGCTTTGGAGTTGGACAGACCTGGGATCAAATGTAGCTTCACTACTTAGTAATTACACATATGCAAACAAGTAATTTAGTTCTCTGAGTCTTCAGCCATGAGATAGTTGTGGGAACTAAACAAGTTAAAGTATGTAAGGGGCCGGGCGCGGTGGCTCAAGCCTGTAATCCCAGCACTTTGGGAGGCCGAGGCGGGTGGATCACGAGGTCAAGAGATCGAGACCATCCTGGTCAACATGGTGAAACCCCGTCTCTACTAAAAATACAAAAAATTAGCTGGGCATGGTGGCGCGTGCCTGTAGTCCCAGCTGCTCAGGAGGCTGAGGCAGGAGAATTGCCTGAACCCAGGAGGCGGAGGTTGCGGTGAGCCGAGATCGCGCCATTGCACTCCAGCCTGGGTAACAAGAGTGAAACTC